ARGGKTTTWWTTTYSAMCCYWAAARKKTCCCTAGAGCATACCTACCAAGGGAGTTCCCCCTGGGGAAAAAATGCAGTAAGTTAGTTCATCATTGCACGTCTAAAATTTGCAGAAAACCCAGTTGTTATGTTTGTGTAGGTCTCTTTGAGTTTGTTATTTCAGATCATTGAGCATACAGTAATTTGTTGAATATTATGTGGTCTTACCAATATATAACTTCATCCATATTTTCATCCAAATCAAATCGAAAATGTGAAAGAGCAACTCCTTTATCTTCACTGTCCCTTACAATCAAATACCTGAAAGAACATGGCCTATAGAATTACCATTACATAGTGACGTCAAAAGAGAAAAGTGATGACAATGTCACTGTATCTTTGACAGGTTCATGTACTCAATAATACCATAATTACAGAATGATACTGATTTGTGCGATTTTCAAGCACTATTTTTGAAGAGATGTTTTGATGTTTGCGGACATTTCCAGAGGTAAATTTCAAAAGTATAGCCAAATTCAATCCAAAAGCTAACAAGAAACATGTTAATTTCATGAGATATATCATGGACGTCTCCAGGAGTTTTTTAGTGWTYTTTTCCYATTTTCAAGTGCTTTTCAATTCCAGGACTTTTCAAGGATTTCAAGGAGCAGCATGATATATAATAGACTTTTGGCAACAATTCTTTTCAAGATGATCTTGGACAAACAAAATCAACAAATTTTTGGAAAATTGCAAAATTTTGCAAATATTTAAAAAGCCCTGTTGACATGGATTTGTGTATTTTTGCTTGAAATGGCAAACAATCCCATGAGAGGCAATACGCATTGACTCTATTTAATACAGTCATGATTTATATTTATTTGTGGGCTTCCTGTGTAATTTGTAATGTCTTTTGTTCATGGTCAAATTACAATAAGGAACTGCTTATTGAATTAAATCACCTGGCTGTGTCTTCAGTCATTTCTTCCATTTTCTTCTTGTCACTCCAACCCCATTCACTTTCTTCATAACTAAATATTTA